GCTGCATATTATGCTAATAATAAGGCCTGGATGACTGGCAACATCTACGAAAAATGGTTGAGAGATTTAGACAACCGTTTTTCAGCAGAGAAGCGCAAAGTTCTCCTAATCGTGGACAATTGTACTGCACACATGGAAGTCACTGGGCTTCAGGCAATCCGTGTGGAATATCTCCCACCAAATGCAACTGCAGTTTTACAGCCAATTGATCAGGGGATAATCAATAGTTTCAAGTGAAAATATAAGACAGTGCTCTTGCAAAGAGTAATCCTTGGCTTGGAAAGGGAACAACCTTATCAGATTGATATTCTTGGTGCAATGCATTTATCAATCAGTGCATGGAATGATGTATTAGATGAAACAATTTCTAAAGCCTTTCGACATGCAGGTTTTATTAAAGAAACAGACGTAACTGAAGAAATCCATGACAATAGATCTCACGACGAAGATGAGGTTCTCATGCATGAACTTCGCCGTAGAAATCCACAGTTGCCAGAACTTTCATTCGAGGATTTTTTAAATGTGGATTCTAATGTCATCTTCACGGAGGAAATATCGGATCATGATATTATTAGCAGCATAATCAACGAGAATGAGAGACTTTCAGATCCAGAAGAAGAAGAAAAAAAATGAAGTAACACCAAGACCCGACTTTAAAACAAGCTGCTGAATACTTGTCAGAACTTAGGCGATTTTTTGAGGCCAGTGATAATTGTGAAATGCTAACAAATATAGAGAAGATGGAGTCTTGCATTGTACAATCTGTTGTTTTTAAAACAGACAAAGATAAGTGATTATTTTGTTGCTCAATGACTTAATAAAGGTACGTTTTACAAATATTTTATATTTCTTGTTTGTTTAATAGAATGGATATCATATATTAAGTAGTAATACTATTAAAAATAATTCCTAATACTAAATAAAAGCATGGAATAGTATCACTAACCTGTCTCGAAAACATTAAAATGTGAAATACTAACAATTTCCGATGCCTTTCTAAATTACGAACTCTCGATTTAACGAACTGTTTTCATAGTCCCTACGAGTTCGTAAAAACGAGCGTCTACTGTATATAAAAAAAGAAGTAAATCTTATCTACTTGGATTCTGTACATGCTTCATGAGAAATACAATTTTATTAATACTTGACATCAGCGGTTTTCACAGTTTCCTTGAATTAAAGCAGGAACTAGGATATTATTCAATAAACAGAACAAAAATGCAATATAATATAATGCAATTCAATTCATATCAACACCAAATCCATAGAACACTTCTATCACTAAGCAAACACAGATCAGAACCTGCATAGCAACGCCGAAAACTGATGCCATCCACAAAAAAAGGATACATGAAACTCGCGTCATTAAAACATTAATACATTAAATGTCTTGTGTTCATTCAATAAAAGTTATTCATAAAACAAAGTCTTGTGGATATATCCCGAAGTTTATCGACGGCATTGCGTAACACTGCATTTTGCATAACTTTTATGAAGAGTTGTTTTGTTTTCCCTTTGGACTAGCCAACCTTCAGTAGCAGAAATTGTTTTTCCCATGTAACTTCCAGCCTTTTGCAGTAATATAGTTCTGCTTATAAGGCTGTTAATCGCTTTATCTTCAAAAAACTATTCCAGGATATTTTCATTGACTAATTTGTCTTCTTTTTTTTAATTGCAAATTTCAAGTTGTGCAATTACCCATGGAAATTTCATCACAATGTTTTTAACAAATTTTACAAAAATAGGCTTACATCCAAAGGTGAGGTTACTTTTCTTTAGACTGCAAGCTTGGAAGAGGATCAGGATTGTTAAGCAAATATTGCTTTCAAGCAAACTGAATCTGTCTTGTGTGCAGCATAGCATACTGGTTTTTTTAAAAGTTAAGGAAAATCACAAAAATAGCGATAACTCTTCCAAAAATAAGTCAATCCATACAAAATTTGAACATGTCAAAGTTGTTGAGTCAAACTGGAATATGCAGATTAGTGGCGCTGCAATCAGAATGCATCATTTGCGAAGAGCAAAAATTGCATGTTTGAGATAAAGCCTGTAAATTTTGCTGTGATGTTGAGATAAGAGATCTGGAATAGCCAATACATAACAGTGACCTTCAGGATCATTTACACAAAGAACTGTGATGGAGAGCTATTAGGAGACTAGAAGCAGGGCAAAGTAAAGCAGAAGTAGCCAGATGGCTAAAAGTGAGTTTTTCTGTTGTTTATAGACCTTTGCAACAATTTCTAACCACAGATTTAGCATCCAAGAGGTTCAGCCAAGGATAACAAACCACTATGATGAGTGCCAATGACCAATATTTGTTATCAGCACAAAGGAATAGAACTGCAGCAAGGTCCTCCCTTGCTGCAGCCACCAGAAGTTTCGTGCTAACTTAAACTGTGCATGGAAGGATTCACAAAGGATGTCTGTATGTGAGGCAACCAGACATTTGCGTGCTGCTCGTGTCATAGAAGGGAATATTTGAGGTGGCATGTCAACGTATCTACTGGATGACTGATCAATGGAGGGTCATCATCAGTCATCAGCTAATGGATGAGTCCAAGTTTAGCTTCTAAAGGTGATCATAGGCATTATTTGATGTGGCGAGGACGTGCAACCCATTATCATCCATCAAACATTCGTGAAAGTGATGCATACAGAGAATGCAGAATCTGTGTTTGGGGTGGTATCACTCTGGGGGAACACACAGACCTCCATGTCTATCCTTGTAGAATCGGGAATGCTCTAGCCTATAGAGAAGACATCCTTGAGGCTTATGTGTGTCCTTATGGCAGGGCAATAAGTGATGATTTCCTACTACATCACGACAACACTGAAGCACACAGGTCTTGCATCGTGGGTGATTATCTTCGGCAGCAAACAATTCAGCACATAGAGTGGCCAGCTCAATCACCTGACCTGAATCCTATCAAGCTTATTTGGGATGCTTTAGGAAGACAAAAACTGCTTTCGATCTTTCTCTTCAGACTCTTTCTACGCTTACAACTGCTTTGCAAGAGCAATGGCTCTTACTTTCTACAAAACTGATAAACCGCATATATCACAGCATCGCACATTGCCATATGTGCTGTATTGCTTACAGAGAAATCAAACTCCATATTAAAGGCAATTTTCCTATATCAAACTGACGCATCCAATTTGTTCGTTTTATACACAGGCTAATTTGTATAACACCATAATTGTCTGGTAATTTCTTTTCATGTTATTTTATACCTTACTATGCGTTATATACTGCAGTTCAGTTTCATTAAATTCTACATATAACTTTTTGAGTAATCATCATTTTTATGATTTTTTGTTAATAATAACCAGTGTATTTTAAACAGCATTTCAACAGTATTAAATCTGCAGAAATACATGCTTTTATCTGGACTTAGATGTTTAATGATCCTGTTAAATGGATTTAATATCCCATTTACTAGCATTTCGTCTGTTTTTTTTTTGGGGGGGATACAACAGAAAAACATAAAAATTTATCTTAAACTTGATTATTAAAACTGACATGCCTTTTTCTTTAAAGTGAAAAAATTAATATTTAAAAAAGTATACATTTTATTAGTTTTCACGATTTTGATTCTTATGTAGCAACATTTCTCAGTGGACCACTAATGACCCTCCTAGGTTTCCAAAACAGACAAATAATAAAATTCAAATTAACTCTGTATACTGCACTATAGCTGAAAAATCTCAGTGTTTGGAAATTACACATGGCAATCATATATCATAGCTGCCAACCCTTCCAGTTTTTCATAACTTTTGATCTTCTAGTAGATTACTAAATGTCTTATTTTTTAATTTTTAGCCTTTGCTAAGGAAAATATTCCAAAGCAATAAAGGAAATTTAAATTAGGCAATTTCTATTTTCATGTTTGTAGTGATTTATTTTTTGTATTAAATGTCATTTCATCTGACTTGTCTTAATCTATTGTGGACATTTTATATAGATTAAGCAATGTTCAATCAAATAATGTTTGTATTTCTTTATTTTACTTCAATATATGGTGCATTACTATGTTTATCCACGCAAATATTCATTTTGTTTTCATCATATTTAAAAGTACTTTCATATAGGAAAGCTTTCCTTCCCAAGATCTTAGAATAAAAGGATAAGACAATTAAAAAGTAAAATAGAATAAAAGGATATGAAAATTAAAACGTAAAAGTACCCAAAGAACATAAAATTTAGAATGTCTAATTAAATGCTAATATATTTTACATCAGAACTGCATTACAAATAGTTCAATAACCTGAACCATGCATTGCAATGCAAATTAAAGTTGGTTTCTAGTTCCTTTTACGTGACGACTCAACGCAACATGAAAACTTCCTGCTATATCCAGTTTTTAGGATTTCAAAGTTGGCAGCTATGATATATTATATTTTCTCCAAGGACTGATGTTTTATGAAATTTGTTACCAGTCTATCTATAGACTTTCCATTCTAATTTTAGCAACAAAATATTGATTTAAAACATTATGACTGTATTGCTTCTTACCAACATATATTCAAACTATGCAGTGCAAGAATACAAGCTGCTTGCAATCAAATCAGTGAGTAAATTAACATCAGTAATAAACATTTAATTTTTAGTTAATAAGGTAAAGATTATCCAAACTAACAGTGTTGAATTCTTAAAAAAACATATATATATATATATATATATATATATAATATATATTATTAACTTAATTACTTTATGCGGAGTATGAGTTTCATGAATTTTAGTTATATTTTTAAAATCTAAGTATACTGGTTGTAACACATGCAAAAAATTGCTTTCATAGAGGACAAAAGTAAAGTGGTCCACAGATCATTCTAACTTATAAAAGTGATCTCCACCTGAAAAAAGTTTCAAAAACGCTGTTTTAAAAGGTTAATTCTTTATGCCAGTGATCATTATAAGCAATGGTTATTGTGATAAATATTAAATAACTACAAAATAGTAAATTTATAGTATATTATTTTTACTCTTTCTTTTCTAGCTAGATTTTCTTAGTGAGGCTGAAGTTATGAAACAGTTTGATCATATAAATGTTGTCAAGTTAATTGGTGTGTGTACTATGGGGGAACCTGTATACACTGTTATGGAGTTTATGCTTTATGGTTAGTTATATTTTGTTATTCCATGTTTTTTCATTTCTTATTTTAATTTCATAGTTTTCTCCTCCCTTTACTTGTATTAAAGCAGTACTAGTTTCTTTCAGAATTATTATTACTTTTTTAATGTGATATTTATCAAAACAAGCATGACTGTAATGCAAAAGAATAACTGTTGTCACTTTAAGCATTATTGTAATTTGTAACTTCAAAAGAGTAATTGTCATCCTATTATGTCTTAATTTTTATTCACGTAGCAGAAAATGATTAGTTAAAATTTTAAGAAATCTAATTACCAAGCTAACTTTCTGCATTGGTTGTTAAAACATTACCAGGATTTCACTGGAGTTTATTCATTGTCTTCAAAATATCTCTTTGTAGCAGACCTGCAGGTAGTCAGAATGAAATCTGACAAATTGATTGCTGATTCAAATGCAAATATATGTTAGTCTGTAAATTTTTCTGTTCATTTGGAACTGTGTTAACTCTAATATATTATTTGGGAAAATTTCCCCGGTATCTGTAGCTTTCATGTCTCCTGTGCTGAAATTATATGATACTCTCAAGACTTCTTTTAATAGGCCATAACATGATTAGCACACATTGGCAAAAAGAAATGTCTAAAGGCATATTTACACATAATAATACCAGCAGTTATTTCCATTTTATAGTTACAATTTTGAGGGTTTGTGCTGCAACTATGGCATGTAACCCTTGAAATGCTTTAATATTAGGCAGACAGGTCAAATGTTACCAACAAGATCCCTAAAACAAACTCAGCTTGCTGCATAATGGGGCATCAACCTTGAAATACAAAGTTTAAAATAGACTCTCTTTTAAACCCTTAATGCTGAACTAACAATCCAGGCACTCCTCATTCCTCAGGCACAGAGACCATGAATAGGGAAGGGAACCATTGAATTCATATATGTGGCCATCATGCTACCCATTCGAATAGCCAAAGCCATTACTATTCAGGGCAGCACTGGCTGCCTCTTCTGGCAGTAGAAACTAGGTTTGTGTTATGTCCCCAGAGCCACAACTATCATAGTATGATACTAAGCCAAAGTATGCAACCCTGTGAGGTATATGGCGATGTAATTAATAGCTGATTTGAAATAGTAACTTATTTTTATTATCAGACAAAATGAAAAGAAATACTTACTGATATTTATTTCTGCATTATTTCAAACTAAAATGTACACCAGAAAATGTGGTCACAGTGTTTTGTGTTCTGTCATAGAATACATGCATTGTAAACATGTATTTGAAGAAACACATAATTATATACATTTGCAAAAATTATTTTAGTTGTTTTATATTTTTTTAATATGATGAAATGTATTTTCGATATGTTTGGCACATTATGACGTTTTCAGATGATATGCCATTAAATTCGCTAGCTACCCATCTATTTTTAGCTGCTGTGTTTATATTTATAAAGCTAATAATTCTGTTGAATTCATCTTTTAATTCAAAAGTATTCACTGGTTTTTCAATAGGTTAGTAAAATGAACGGTTTTGTTTTTTCATAATATTATACATTTATTATCATCTATGAATTTTAATTTTAAGCGTAACGTGTTACAGTCTTTCAGAAGCTGATTGCTTCTTGCTGGTTGGCATGGTAGTTACTACATAAGAATGGAATATCCAGTCCTCACCTCAGTGTTGAGGTATCACCGGAGCCATAGGCTAAAATAATTTAAAGATTCAGCAAAAGCTAAAGATATTATTTAATCAAATTTAGAAATTTAAATCCTAGCAAATTTTGAGGTCCGCTAACTAGAAGATGTATTGACCTCCCCAACTTCTTTATTAAAGAAAGTTACAAAGATACAATGATCAATTTATACATCAATGAAAGATATAAAATATGCAAACACCATTAGTCAGAATATAAGTATAAATTTGTTACATTTTAGAACAAGATACAAAGTATAGGGTTAAACATATTAAGAAGATACAATTTATAAAGTTAAATGAACATTGGTAAGCCATTATAATTAATTGATAAACATATATTTTCATTAGAATACAAATATTCCATTAATTTGGAAAGTAGATGTCGACCTTTTTCTAATAACATTAATTTACATAGGAGGTCGAAATTCAGAGTTTCTGGAAATAATTCTTTTCTTTTGCTGTCCAAGCTCGGGCAGTCTAGAATCATATGTAGTGCATCCGCTGTTTCTAATCCACATACACAGTGACTTGGTGAATTCTTGATCTTGAATCTGTTAAAGTAACAGGGAAAGGCTCCGTGATTTGAGAGTATTTGATTGATGAAGAAATCATTGAAGTGTCTTCTCTCAGAAATTCTAGGAAGAATCTTGAAGGTTGATCTACCAGTTTCTTCTTCATGCCATCGACGTTGCCACAAAAGAAGAGCTTGTTCTTTAGCTTTATGTACAATATTACTCAGTGGAATTTTGCAGTAAATTCTCACTTCAGAGGATATTCCTTTTTTTGCTAATTCGTCTGCTTTCTCATTACCTCTGTAGCCATGATGGCCTCTTATCCAATGCAATTTTACTTTAGTATTATAAACGAGCTTTTTAACTTCGATGATTTCTGAGTTTAGGATATCAAACTTTTCCAATGATTTTAACACCGCTTGGCTATCAGTGTATAAGTGGGCTTTATACTTGTGATCTTTTAGCCATTGTAGAGCTGATTTCAACACTTGTGTTTCCGCTTGGTATACTGAACAGTTTCGATCCAGTTGATAAGAGTATTCCTCTTCTAGGGTGCTATTCCAATAGACACAGAATCCTGCTCCTGTGCCTTCATCATTTTTCGACCCATCCATAAATACTTCATAACTTTTATTAGATGGAAGATGGTCATTCCATTCACAAGTCTTGATCCGTGCTCGATGAGTACACCACTTATGCTTGGGAAAATCGAGAACTTCTTTAGAAAAGTTGAGATTTTCAAATGAGAAGTCTGACCAGCCTCTTTTAGTCCTTTGAATTGCACTTTCTTGATCCAATTTGATATCCAAAGGTATTAGGCCAGCTAAAATCTGCAAGGGCGAGGTTGGAACAGTTTTATAATATTTAGTCATGGCTAGTAGAGCCACTCTTTGTATAGTATTTGCTTTATTACGCATTTTAACTGTTGGTGGAAACCACCAAGCTGCGCAAGCATAAACTGCAGTCCTTTCTATTGCTCGTTTATAAAGTTCTTTCATAACGGCTTTTGATAAGCCAGGAAATTTCATAAGCTTATTAATAATTTTGCAGACTTTAGTTTTAACATAGTCCAAATGAGGAAGCCAAGTCAAACATTCATCGATTATTATTCCTAAATATTTGATATATTTGTGTCATTTAATTGTAGTGCCATTCAATTTAATTGTTGGGGCAGAATATGCTGAGCCCCTCTTTTTAACTGCAATAAACATTGAACTGGACTTCTCCGGAGAGAAACTTGGTTTACTTTTCTTTGCCCATTCAGTAATTGGAATGAGGGCATTATTAGCTCTATTTTGAATCTGTTGATGGGTCGCTCCCGTCACTATGAATAAGACATCGTCTGCATATGCTTGAATCTGAACGCCTTCTCCATAGTCTATTTGCAGTGCTGTATTCATGACTATATTCCAGAACAAGGGTCCAGAATTTGACCCCTGAATGCATTCTTTTTCTTGAACATGAGAGAGATATGCATTGTTTACTTCATAAACTATTTGTCGATTCTCCAGAATTGATTCAATAACTTTGTAGAGATTAATAGGACATAAGAGAGGTCTTAATTCTGGTAATAAGTAAGGCCACCAGATATTATTGAACGCACTTTTAATATCGAGAGATATTATGTTCGTATAACAATTATTTCTTCGATTTTCTTTGACCGTATTGATAATATCTTTAATTGCGTCCGTGGAGCATACTCCAGCTGTAAATCCATATTGCTTATGGCTAAATTTACCATTAGAAAATAGATAAAAGTTTAGTCTATTAGTGATCAGCTTATTGTAGACTTTGCTCCACGTGTTTAGTAGACAAATTGGTCTGTACGCTTCAGGTAATTCTGAATTCTTACCTTCTTTGGAAAATAGAACGAGTTTTGCGGTTTTCCAACATTCTGGGAAGATTCTGCATTGTAGAAGTTCATTAAACAGTTCAGTATGCAGCATTGGGTTAGCATAGAATGCTTCTAAGATGATCTCTTTAGGAAGATTATCCAGACCGGGAGCTTTGCCAGAATTGAGAGATTTAATTGTATATTCTACCTCCTGTCTAGTAAATGGGAGATCTTTTTTTGCCTCCGTATCAAGTTTTGATCTGTGTCCTGATCAATGTATGTTCCAAGGAATCTGTGCTCTGGTCGTCGGCTGGAAAATGATGTTCCAGAAGAAGTTTTATAGTCTCATCAATAGTTTGAGTTTTGGTATTATCCGGTTTGAGTAACGCTTTTATTTGGAATGGTAAGGAAATACTTCCTTTCGCCATGTCGTAATGTATACCAAATGGAGACTTTCAAACAATACTTTCTAGATGACTTTTCCAGCATGTTCTTTTAGAACGTAGTAATTCTCGTTTGTATTTTGCTAAATCTTTCTTATATATTTTCTTGTAGATAGCTCTTAAGTTATCATCTTGGGTACAGTGCTGATAGCGTTTTCTTTCAGCCAAAATTCTTTTCCTCATAATAGTGAGGGATTGTGTCCACCATGGGACTCCTTTATGCTGTGCGTTAAGAAATTTTCCTTTTGCTTTTATTGCCATTTCACAGATATCTTGTATCTTTTGAGTCCAATTTTTAATGAGTGCGTTCAAGTCAATTGTATCCTTTATATAGTGTGAGTTGAAGGTGGAAAAATAATTTCCAATCTTTTCTTTGAGCAATAGACAATCCATTTTTTCCAGTTTATACTTCCTTCGTATAAGCTGATCAGTTCTTTTATCATAAGAGATTTCGAAGTAGACATAGCAATGGTCACTTAGTGAGGGATCATCCAAGACTCGCCAGTCACTAATTACGTTTCCTCGACATGC